AATTGAAAGAAAATTTTTTGGAGGAGGTACCGCAGACGTCAGTTAATGACGAAGTGGAAGCAGAAGACCAATAGGGTACTCTTGAGGATGAAACTTCAGGCCAAGAGGCCCTAGCTGCTGAAGCGCCTGCTACGGAGGCATCAGACTCCTTGCCACTTCCAGCATAGTATAGGATTTTTTTTCTATGTAATGGATGAGGTTCTTCTTTGTACAAATTCTTTTATTAATGAAGTCTATGTTTCTTTAATTTCTTATCTTTGAGCTGGGACTTCAGAAATGTTTATAGCGGATATAATTCATCTTAACCTCCTTAAAGAGCATAACTTAAACAATATAAATTGCAAGTTGAACTGAAGTAAATATAATGACCTCCAAAGACTAATTATCTTTCAAACATTTGAAAAATGACTAATTTTAAACTTCATATTTCTCTTGGACAAGATGCCTCAGAATCAACATAAGCCAACTTATTATGCTTCGATCTCTGCTCAGTATGAACTTCTAAAAAGGAGAAGCTCTACAATGGATAACATAAATTTTTAAGGTAGTCCAAAGATTTCAGTGCTAGAAGCAAATAAATATCAAAAATTCACAATTCATATAAATATGAAATTTGGAGTTGCGAGACTAATGTCACAGAGAAAAAATTATTGTCCACATGGATGACATGTCAATGAAGCCTTAATGCATATATCAAAGCTATTAATGGTCACAATCCAATGACCCAAAAAAGAAACATGTCTTCATACAATGGAAAATGTACCGAGTCACTCCATTAACAAAGTTGTCATTTGGAAAAGCACAAACCCAATAATCATTGCTTGCAACATAAGAACCAACAATTTTGAACTTGGGACATACATCATCACCATTCTGTCAAATTTAAGTTACTCTAGTTAAGGATCCCGAGCACAAGTTCCTACACAAAAGATTTTAACCAGTATCAAGATTTAAAGAATTAAGACAATCTTTAAAGGCAAAACTTTAACTAGTTACATATTGTTGAATATGTGACCCAAATTCCGACGTTGGTTTGTGTTTTGGATGAAAGAGGACTCAAAGAGGTGAAAAGTGGTTAAGGGATGTTTTGGGCATTGACGTGGTGCTTGGGTGCCCAGTTAGAGCCAATCAGGGTGCCAAATTGAAGTTATTTACCGATACTCGGTGCTTGGGCGCTCTTGGAGGTGCTAGGACAACCACTCGTTTTTCTCACTCGAGCTGCAACCTTATCCGAGGAAAATTTATTTCCTTATTTTTGGTACCTTTTTTATTCTCTTTCCAACTATAATATATTCTCTTGGGTCCTATATATAATCCACGAAATTCTTTGCTTTCATATGACTTTGAGAGAGTTACAATTGTATTAAATAGACAATATTCTTTGTATTTTCTCACCATTATTAATAAAATATTTATTTCTCTGCCATATTATTTTGTTTTTCTTATGTTGTGATTGTTACTTCATATTGTGTCATATAATCATATATAATTCTTGTCAAGATTCTAACAGGTGGTATCATAGTTTATGGTTTGATTTATTTGAGGTTTTATTTGTTCTTGTGATGGTAATCATGAAGTAGATATTCCATTTTTTGATCGCAGTACTAGATTCTCGTTGTGGCAGGTGAAGATGCAGCAGTGCTTGATCAGATGGATTGAACTTGTTGGGGTTTGACAAGACGATGGAAGAGAAACAATGTAAGGATCGAAATGCCATATCACAAATTTATTTTAATCTTTCGAATCATATTTTTCAGGACATTTTGAAGTCAAAAATTGTAGTTGCGTTATGGTTGAAGTTTGAGCAATTGTGAACGACTAAGAGTCTAACTAGCAAATTGCACCTAAAATAACGTTTATATTCTCATCGTATGACAGAAGGTACATCTCTAAAAAATCACCTTGCTGTTTTTAAAGAAATTATTGTTAATTTGGAAACCTTGGAGGTTAAGTTTGATGAAGAGGATTTTGAATTGATTTTATTGTGTTCATTGCCCGTATATATATCGTTTAAAGATAGTATATTATATAGTCGTTAGATCTGAGGCTCAAGGAGATGGCCACGTTGTTCATGTGGTTATGAGAGGGGGAGTTCGAAGTCTAACTCGAGTAATAAAATTTGTAACTATTGCAAGAAGAAGGGACACATAAAAAATGATTACTATAAGTTATAGAATGGAGAAAATTTAGCTTAAATAAAAAGGGAAATCATCCAGAAACTTCAGGTGAAGTCGACATTGCATAAAATTGCTACAGTGAAGGAGAACTTTTGGTTATTTCTCATGCGACTCCAAACATGATGAAAATTGAATTCTTGATACAACTTGTACTTTTCTTATGAGTCCCAATCAAGATTCGTTTTCAACATATGAAAAAATTTAGAAAAATGTCGTGGTTATGGGAAACAATACACCATATAAGGTAGTTGGTATTGAACGGGTCAGACTCAAGATGTTGAATGAGACTGTTAGAACATTTTATAAGGTGAGAAACATTTCATATTTGAAGAGAAATCATGTCTGCTTGAGTATTCTTGATTGAAGAGGGTACAAGTTCACTGGTGAAGGTGAAGTTCTAAAGTTTATAATGTGCCCATGTTGTATTGGAGGGATGGAAAAGATTTCAGTTGTATATCTTACAGGGTCCGACAGAATCATTAGAAAACAATTAGAGAAATTTGTAGTTTGGTAGATATTCAGTTTGGTATAGTACCGTTTCAGTTTGGTTTGGGATCCGTGTTGAAGAATATATCTCAATCAAGTTCATAAGTTATGGATAATGTTGCTTTACTACCACCAACTGTAGTGCCATCGTATTTAATTGCTAGAGCCACACCCAAAAAAGATATTAAGCCTCCACAAAGGTACAGGGAAATGATTTAGTGGCGTATGCTTTAAGTGTAGTTGAAGGTATGGAGTCTAACGAAAAACTTTCTACAAAAGCATTTTATATTGTTGATTCTATTTTAAGGCGTGTTTTGACCCTATTTGATAATCATTGTTGAATTATTTGTGATTGTGTTGCTTGTGGTAATAATTTGAGCAATTTTAGTGCCCAAGATAATTCTTTGAACAATGTTTGAATTCAGTTGATTGAGTTTGTCCTAGTTGGACTTTGTGGAAGAGAAGGAGAATTTTTGGTTGGAGAGTTTTTGTTGGAGAGCTATTGGTTTATTCCTTAGACTCGAATTTATCTCCAGGTGTAGAAATTTTGAAGTTTTGTTCGTTGCTGTGGAATTTGTGTTGATGTGGAGATTTGTTGAATGTGTGACCCAAATTCCAACATTGGTTCGTGTTTTGGATAAAAAAAGAGCTAAGGAAGTGAAATGTAGTTAAGGGATGTTTTGGGCAGTAACATGGCGCTTGGGCTCCCAAATTGGGTGCCTAGGTGCCAATCAAGGCGCTAGGATTGCAGCTCGCTTTTTGCCCGCTCGAGCACCGCGTGTCGCTTTATTGACATGAGTTTGCCACTCGATTGGCAACTTTATTTAGGGAAAAATTGTTTCCTTATTTTTTATTCTTTTTTATCCTCTTTCCAATTACAATATATTCTTTTGGATCCTATATATACTCCACAAAATTCTTGGCTTTCAAATGATTTTGAGAGCGTTAGAATTGTATTAGATACACAATATTCTTTGTATTTTCTCTCCATAATTAATAAAATATTCGTTCATCTGCCATATTATTTTGTTCTTCTCGTGTTGTGATTACTATTTCATATCGTGTCATATAATCTCGTTTATTCTATTCCTAACAAATAGTATTAACATACATAATTCTTGTCACGATTTAACAAAGATTAAACATAGAAAATAAAGGTTAATTACAAGCTAAACTACTCTTTTGTCTTTTTCGGAGAGGTCAAACTGAATTCCCATCACACGTGTCATGTCATTGCTTTCAACATTTGATTGTATTCTTTTTGACGATAATAAAGTAATTAATAATATATTTCATTAACTAAATTATGCATGCACCAGATACGATTAATAAAGTTAATGTTAAAGAATAATTATCGCTGTTTGACTTTAACTCTATAAGAGTAACAAAATTCTAATTTACTTTTCATCCTTCAACTTATTCTCCGAGTCATTTCAGTTGATAAATAGGGAAGGGGCCATAGAGAATTATAATTTAACAATAAATATATTTAACTTAGCATGTTTGGAACAGCTAGTTTTAGTGACAAAAAAATTCAAATATTCATCAAATTGTTACGTGGCCTCATGAAAACTTACCTCAAATCAAATTTTAAAGTACCAATATAAGTTGGTGAACAAAATTTAGTTTCATCAAGTTGAACATACGAAAGCTACATGACAAACACAAGTTCTATCATTAGAGATTTGATTGTGCAGCTATGGACGAAAGGTTGGAGACCAATTTGCTCATTTTTAAAGAATGGAGGTCAACTCCGTGTCAGGGCTATAAGTTGGGGACAAACACTGCAATTTATCTGCATAATTTTGTTGTCTTTAAACCCTAAAATGTCACTTTGTTTTCATATAGGAAAGGGTAAATTTTAACTTACTATTCTAAAAAAAAAATAACTTTTAGGCTCAGTGAAACATGCTCTTGATACAAAATTATCAGAAGAGCCGTGAAATGGAACATAAAGCAGAATAGAGTCAAAGCACAACTTAAGAGGAATTTTTTCTTTTAACAGTCTTGTAGGGTAACAAAATCTATTTTTTGTTTAAAAGTGAAATTTCATGCACTGTGTGGATACAATTCTTAGCAAAGAAAATAGTTTCGAGTGCCTTTGAATATCACATCCGATTCGGTCTTACAATCCAAATCCATTACATCTCTCTCTCTCTCTCTGTATGTGTGTGTGTATATATATATATATATAACTATTTGCAGCCGTCATCAATCTTGTATAAATGTCCTACGTCCATAATTTGGAAGTTAACCGTCAATTCACAAACTTTTCTGTGCCACCAAATTTGAACTCCCAAAAACGATACGCATTTAACACACTTGAACATCAAGAAAATGGAAGGAAGTTCTTCTAGTTCAAGAGGTAAGGCCATGCAAGACAAGGAAGGGAAAGGCAAAGAGGAAGTCCGGTACCGGGGCGTCCGGAGGCGGCCTTGGGGGAAGTTCGCGGCTGAAATACGCGATCCCTCGAGGCAAGGAGCCCGCTTGTGGCTCGGAACATTTGATAATCCTGAGGCCGCGGCCCGGGCTTATGACCGCGCTGCCTTTAGGTTTAGGGGACATCTTGCAATATTGAATTTTCCAAATGAGTACTACTCTCAACTCGCGATTCCACCTTATAAACCTACATTTCCGGCACAAGAGAAGATTGAGTTGGAATGTTTGGATGATAGTGTTTTGGATGAGCTTCTTGAATCTTCAGAACAGAAGAAGAAATCAAAGAAAGATTGAGATCTACACAGTTTTCCCTTTCACTTTCACTTTCTGTTTTCTGGTTGTGATTTTCAAGATTTTTGCCTAATGATTCTCTGAAAGAATGTGAAGGTGAATGAAAAAGTACTTTTTCTTGTAACTTTCTGCTTAATCTTTGTCTATGTAAAGCCAAAACTCTGCGTGTAAAACAAATTACCAGCAAATAAAAGAGGAGATGATCAGATAAACTGAAGAAGAAAAGGAAATGGGGTCGGTTAGGGCTACTATGCAGCCTCATGTACGTAAATAATCCGCATTTAGAGTCAGTAACTCAGTATCATGCACTAGTCACTCACTATTGTCCCAAACTTCTCATCATAGTTAGCCTTCACAAATACTATTGCTAAATGGGTATTTTACTATTCTTCTTTTTCAAGTTTTTCCTTCCTTTTTTGTCTTTTCAATGAATTGAAGAAATTGAGATCTTATATTTGGGGTTTGAACGCATCATTTTCTAAAACTAAAACTCGAGATCTACTAGATGTTCAATTTTTTACTACTCGACATAAGCGTAAGCCACGAAATTGGTAATAGATATATTGATTAGATTCAAGATGAATGAATGCACTTAAGCGGTTTTGTCCGCCTCTAAATTTCAAATTTGATATCAGCTGAATCTGTTGTGTATTATTTAGCCTTTGTACAATCCCATATCAACTGAATCAGTGGTTGACTCTATCCTTTGTAAGTATGGATCTCTTTGTGAAACAAAGAGCACCATTTAATTGGGTTCATTTGGTGTGTTTAAGGTTGTCTTGCTCCAAGATCTAATTTTAGTATTGTTCAATATTCGGTAATCTTCTTTCAAATGATATTGTAGTACCTGCAATATAATTCGCAAACGTATAATATGTTATAATTTTGACTTAGTATTTTTCAATTAGAATAATTGTATTTGTGTATCCCAAATAGAATAAGTTTTTTAGCTTCTATTTGTAATGGCATTTCTCTATGAAAGGCCTCAACTTAAATTGTCAATTAAATAACTTTGCGGATTAATCAGATAAATAAATAAACTACTAATGTATTTATTCATTTAAAGACGAAAAAAATGTCCAAATATTTCAGCAAAAACTATTTAAAGACCAAGAAACCTTCCAATTATAACAGCAATAACTACTTTTATGCTCATATAGGCCAATATAAAATAGGAGGAGACAATGCCTTTGGTTGGTTCCTTTTTGTTGCTAAAAAGTTACTTTTCAAAATTGAACATTAATTTTAACTACATAGTTTGTATAATCTACAAGTACGACCCATTTATTCATCATTTCTTTATATCAATTTTGTTATGAATGAAGCAAAATATATGTGCAAGATGAAATAAACCAAACAAGCAAGAACATCAAGATTTTAGGTGGATATCCAAGATGGAAAAAAAATCACGGATAGATAGGGATGGCAAAAAAGCTCGTCGGCTTGGACGGCTCGGGCTCTGATCAGAAAAAGCTTGAGCCGAGCCCTACTCGGGCTCGGTTACACCGAGCCTCATTTTTTTTGGCTGGGCTTTACTCGGCTCGGCTCGGACCCAAAAAAGCTCGAACTGAGACCGAACTTTTTTATTTAATTTATATTACATATAAACCGTACATATTTTAAAATTTTTAAGTAAAAATATATGTTTGACATTAAAAAAAATCCAAACGGCTCGGTCCAGGCTCGGGCTGAGCCTAATTTTTTTTTTGCCGAGCTTTATTCAGCTCGACTCGGGCCCAAAAAAGTTGGGCCTAAAAAAGTTCGAGTCGAGCCCTAGTTTTTTTTTGGGCTCGGGCTCGACTCGTTGACATAGCTACGGATAGATAACGATAATTCACTAAATCAAAATCAATGATTTGTTACTAGATTTGATGCTCTCAACCAAATCTAATTGTTTTATAGTGTTATGAAGAGCCAACAACACGTGGAGTGTTTATATAACCCTAATTGTAGTGTTTTAAATAGAATAGAATACTTAATATTCCGCAAATCGCCAAAGGAATCTGGGTCGGATAATATCGACGTTCGAGCTGCCAAGCTTGTGGAAAGCTAGCAACAAGGCAGCACTCGAGCGCTGCAACTCCGAATTAAATCCTATTTCATCCTCCGGATGGTGCACAGGCGCCCAGTCGCCTGTCCACAAAATCCTTATTACATCTCTTGAGTTATTTAAAGTCCTTTTCAAACCAAACTTCCAATCCTGAAATTTGGGTCACACTTCAACAAATTTATAATTTTAGTAATTAAATAGAAAAACTAAACAATTATTAGAAGTTAGAACTTATATGAACGAACATAAGCGCTTAAAAGACCATACTTCTATGTTTTAAGCATGGAATGCGATGTTCAAAGTGCGAGATCATTGTTTTGTTGATTGTTTAATTGGTCACATTTTTATTCATGAAATGAAATGATTGAATTGACATTAGTTTGAATATGGCAAAATCATTCTACTAGATCGATTATGTACATTTAATCTAATAAGTTGCTTTTTTCAGAATTGAGAAACCATCATATCTTTTATAGGATGCCTCATATATAGTCAATTTCACTGTTCAAATCCTTGAATGTCAAGGGAAGGCAAGTGGGAGATGTTTTAGGCCAAAATATCTCTAGGTTGCACGGATAACTAATTAACTTTGTACCCTTGGTCATCATGTTGTATCGAATATGAGGATTATAGCCAAGGAGTTACGTGTGAAGTTGGGATATTAGTCAAAATCTTTCTCGGCCTACAGTCGATGCCTTGTCAAAATAGTTGAGGGATCGCTTTCTCAGTATGGATTTAGTGCAAGACAACATTATTACTGCACACGAAGAGCATCTTCAATGTAAGATTGTGAATTGTTGTACACATGGAAAGTAAAATTGGGTACGGAGAGAAGAGAATGGATTATAATAATTCTAAGTAACACGGTTGATTACTTGATTAGTCATAGAAATTTGCGGAAGGTTTTCAGGGGTTATTGAACTAAGTTCTCCCGTTAGTTATTGAATTTTACAAAATGTAATCCAGCCATCACTCAATGCGGTTTGATTACATTTTGTAAAGTTCAGTGATTAATGAGAAAACTTTGAGTGATTGTTGGATTAAATTTTGTAAAATTATTGAGTGGTGGTTGTATTACATTTTGTAAAGTTTATTGATTAATGAGAAAACTTTCTAAATTTAGTAATCCTCTAGAAAGTTTAAGCAAAGTTCAGTGACTAATCAAGTAATTAAAGTTCAATGGTTTACGAAAAAACTTTTAAAGTTCGGCGATCCCTTGAAAACTTTACGCAAAGTTCAGTGATCCTTTAAAAATCTTACACAAAGTTCAGTAACCAATCACTATTTAACCCCACTTTTTATCAATCTTTATGTATTTTTTAGTCTTGTATTTTTTTTATTTCTATTTTGTTTTTTACTCCTCTACAATTTTATTCTCTTTAGTACAACCAAATTTAGACAAATAGATCAACAGTTTATCTCGAAGTAACCAATAAGGTTATTTGCAGACCTCTCTAAGGTCAAAAAAGGCAACATAGGTCCAGCGTTCAACCATTTCGAAAGAGAACCCTTTCAATATTGAAAATTTAATAGAATTCAACTTTAAAATTCGTACACATTTTTAGCTAAGAATATCTTTGATCTTAAAGAGATCAGAAGACAACCTTGTTGATTAACTTCAGGATAAAGGAGCTATTCTTTTTTCTAAGTTTGACAATACTAGAGAGAATAAAATTGTAATGTAGGAGTACAAAAAATAGAAAAAAGAAAGAAAATACTAAAAAAATATAAAGATTGATAAAAATGGGGATTAATTACGTGATTGGTCACCAAACCAGGGGTCATTGAACTTCAGAGGCTTTCTTGTTAGTCACTGAACTTTACAAAATGTAATCCCTTCCATTGTGATGTAATTAACCCCTAAGTCACATGTACAAGAGGATGTCTAGCAGATGACAGGTGTGACATGTGGTTGTAGCATCTTGAAATTACATGACAAACTTTTTAGTGCAATTCACAGTCTCATAGTAGATGCTCTATTGATGACGTGCATAAGAAACTAGAATTTATGATAAAATGGGATCGCAAGACAAAATAATAATTTCATGATAACTTTTCGAGTTTGTCTGTTTTTGGCGAATTGTTAGTCTAATTCGATTGAAAATGAGCCAATGATCACAACTTATCGCTTTTGGCCTTGACATACGTCAAATTTTGAACAGATTCCATCATTTATGCCATCGATTAAGCGTTTTTACTATTTATGATAATTTTTATTTTGGCAATATTTCATTCAATAAAATTCGGATTCGTATTTCGTTTGTTGGAGAACGATTCTAAATCTTAAGAGTTTCAATTTAAGTTGTTATCTCGAATTTTTTTATTTATAGAAAAATATCGTTTTTTTTTATTTTTTTTATTTATTTTCCAGATTTTGATAAAGTTTTACTATTTAAAGCATTATAAACCCTTTGAGACCACAATTTATTAAATTGAATAAAATTTCTCGTGAGTTTTTCTCATCTTTGTAAGGTTGTTCATTTGTCCTATAATATTCCGCTACATCATCTATGTTCTTGGTAAGCCCTTATGCAATGTGGTTGTAACTAGATCATCGTAAGTTGTTTAATTTCATTGTACAACTAGTTCTTCACCATCAACCGTGAACTAATTTCATACTGGAAAAATTATAGTAATGACTACACCCAAAAGAATATTTTAAAGCTAGAGAGCCACTGTTTTTTCCATCAAAAAGTCATAGAGATTGATCTTGGGAAACTAAGGAATTACAGATATTGTTCTAACTTGTTTTTTCCATCAAAAAGTCATAGAACATCTTGCTATTCATTATGGTCCTTTTTCTGGTACACTACAGAGCAGTCAAACTGAATAATTTTAATGTGCTATATTGTGGGGAAGAATAAAAATATTGCAAGAATAAAGTCAGATATCATCCATATATAGATGCGATCTTGATTAATTGATCTGTAAATGTTAATTTCATCCACATAAA